TCTTCTTCTTTAAGCATTTTTATATTCTTTTAAAGTGTTTTTTTTTTTGTTTTTTAAGCTTATTTGAGCTTTTTTTAAGCTTTTTTCAAACCATTTTAAGCCTTTTTAATTCTTTTTAAAGGTTTTGAGACCTTTTGAAGCTTTTTGAAGCATTTTAATGGTTTTTAAAGCTTTTTAAAGCATTTTGATAGTTTTAAAGCTTTTTTAAGCATTTTTAAATATTTTTAAGCTTTTTAGACTGTTTTAAAGCTTTTTGAAATTTTATAAGCTTTTTTTAAGCTTTATTAGGCTTTTAAATCTTTTAAAGCCTTTTTTAATCTCTTTTTAAACTTTTTTTAAGCTTTGTTAAGCTTCTTTAAGCTTTTTAAGTTTTCCTGTGCTTTTTTTATGCCTTTATAAGCACTTGAAACTTGTAGAGTTATAATGTCAATTTCAATTATTTATAAAATTATGCATGGCCTAATTGATTGTCCATTACTTCTTGAATAAGTTATGTCTCCAAGATTAAATGAGCGTGAGTCTGAAACGTTTTCGTTGCCTACTCCTAGAACCAACATTTTATTGTTTACTGTTTTAATTGTGATCTGTTTTTTGAAAAGCTTTCACAAATCTCTCAATAGTTGATATGTATCCTGCCTTATTATTATTATTTTTTTTTGTATCTTTTTGTGTAGCCACTTCTTTGTGTAGCCACTTCTTTGTGGTAAACGCCAAGCATGCAGTCCAATAGTTCGTTCTATATGATTTTAGAGGTCCCTTTAAATAACGTTGCTTTATTGAAATGGTCCTTTAAATCAGCATCTAATTCAGAACCAGAATCTATCAATTCTCGGAACACTTCATTATTTTTGGATTCTTCAGTTTCATCATGTAATTGTAATTGTAATGCACTACAAAATCTAATACAGTTAATAATGATGTTTAAAATAAATCTGTTTAGTGAGAATTTAAATATATTTTTGACAGATGTTGATAATTAATTAAATACAATTATTTTGCAGGTAATCAAATAGAATGTAAACGTTGGTTTGAAAATTAGTCAATAAACAACGATGAAGTAATTGAAGCCATAAACGGTTATAAATAATTTTAAGAAATTTAATATAATAATTGCAAATCTATATTTCTGTATCTACGTTGTGTATTTATATTTATATAACAGTTTACACCACAAATTAAGTCTTGAGCTTGCTTACTTATAGTTCGTTACGCAAATGCGACCTTAAACTGCAGCTGAACGGTGAATTTTAACAAAACTCCGTGACTGACTTTCAATATACTTAAATTAAGTAAGTGAGAAATACTACGAAATGACAATAGACTATAAATTCATTTTTTTGCTAAGGTTATTGCTTCCTAGATATAAGTTTGCAGTCTATTCTATTGAATTTTAATTAATCTGCATTTAATCTAGATAGTTTATCAATGCATAGCCATTTAGATGAATGACCTAAATATAATGGACATTTTATTGTAGGGTGTGTCTAAATATATGCACATGTTAAATAAGGGAAGTGACTGCTTTGTTCTAGGAACAAATCCTTGTAAATATTTATTTCGGATCAATTGCCTTTCAAACTAAATTTAGTGATATTTATTAAATATGATAATACTTAAATATGTATTCCTCCTAATTAAGCCCGTCCCTGCGTTACCGCTGCAGGTGTTTATATACTAGTCCCTTTTTTGTGCCGAAAGAAACATCTTCATTTGATATTCAAATCTAAGTAAAAAAAAAATCAATATTCCGAAAAATTATTGGATATAACATTTTTTATATCTATTATTAGCAATTATTTCTTGTAAATTACTTACTTTAACTTGTAAAACATATAAAACTAATCTAAATGTGATCATAAAGATCGTGAGCAATTTGCAATAAATTTTAATTGGATTCAATAAAGATCAGATGAATAAATTGAATAAGGAAATTAAATATTCGCGTTAATTAATTTATTTTTGGATATTTATAAAAAAATAATTTATTTAAGAATTCGTAATCTATTTTTAAAAATATACAGTGTGTAGTTGTTATTTAATCTCCCAGTACTATGTACCAGAAACAGCAAATTTTACAGATTTGATAACAATTATGAGGCATAACTATCCAGAAGAAAATAATTTACAAATTTTAAAATTCTAAAAGCTTTAAAACATTCTAAAAAGCTTAAAAAGATTTAGAAATGCTTAAAAAAAGCTTTAAAAAGACTTAAAATGGTTTAAAAAAGCTTAAAAAAGGCTCAAGTAAGCTTGAAAAAATTTTAAAAACTTAGAAAAGAACATAAAAATGCTTAAAGAAGAAGAAAATAATTTTAAAAAGCTTTAAGAAGCTTGAAAAGGCTTAAAAAAGCTTCAAAAAGCCTTACAAAAGCCTATAAAGCTTAAAAAAAATAATAAATGCTTTAAAAAGCTTTAAACATCAAAAACAAACAAAAGCAAAATGCTTTAAAAAAATCTGTTAAAAGCGTTAAAAAGGTATAAAAACGCTTAAAAAGCATAAAAAAGCATAAAAAACAAAAAGATTTAAAAAGCTTTTAATACTTATGTAAATAATTGAAGGGAATTAAAATTAACCAAAAAACGACCTACTTTCGATCAATATTTTGTTTTATTTCTTGACATAATACTATTGCAATGTCATCGTCATGATTACTATGTACTTATTTATAATGTAGGTAAAAAACTAGTTTAAACTAGGTACTATAAATAGTAATTAAAATTACTTCTTTTTTTATTTGGCTTAACTTTTCCCGTACAAGATCAATTAACGAAAATTACCGTGTGGAGGACGATATTACGAAACTAAATTGTTTGATTCGTTTCTCTGACTAGATTGTCTAGTGACACCAATAGAAAGTAATCGCCAATATGCTAAATAGGCATAACTAATTTTAATTTAAGAACAAGATGTGTATCCACAATGGTTTGCAAAAAAAGATGTGTGGGAATTAAAGACGAGAAGAGTTTTAATCAACTGGTCGATTAAAAAAGTGTAAAACATAAATATAACTTGATTTATAAGAAATATACAACATTAAATAAGTTGAAAATGGAATAAAGTTGAGAAATGATAAGTATCAAATACTTTTTAAGTCGTTTTACGATTTTTTAGGCTTTTGTAAGCTTTTTTAAGTTTTCCTTAACTTTTGTAGGCTTTTTTTAAGCTTTTTAGGCCTTTCTGTAGCTTTTTTAGGATTTTTAAAGCTTTGTGAATCTTTTTAAACTTGTTTAAGCTGTTTTATGCTTTCTTAAGGTTCTAAGGCATCTTAATGCTGTTTTAGCTTTTTTTTAAACCTTTTCTAAGTTTGTTTAGGATGGTTTTTAAGATTTTAAAGCTTTTTAAGATTTTTAAACTTTTTTTAGGCTTTTTTAAGCCTTTTTGTAGCTTTTTTAGGATTTTTAAACATTTTAAAACTTTTTTAAGCTGTTTTATGCTTTGTTAAGGTTCTAAAGCATCTTAATGCTGTTTTAGTTTTGTTAAAAACCTTTTCTAAGTCTGTTTAGGTTAATTTTTAAGATTTTTAAGCTTTTTAAGCTTTTTAAACTTTTCTAAGCTTTTTTAGACTTTTTATAAGCCTTATTGTAGCTTTTTGATGTTTTCCTTTAAGCTTTTTTAGGAATGTTTAAGCTTTCTAAACCTTTTAAAGCTGTGTTATGCTTTGATAAGGTTTTAAAGCATTTTAATGCCTTTTTTTAAAGCTTTTTAGGCTTCTGTAAAGCTTTTTGAAGCTTTTTGAAGATTTGTTAAGCTTTTTTACGCCTTTTTAAGTTTTGTTAAGCTTTTAAACCTTTTTTTAAAGCTTTTTGAAGCCTTTTAAGATTTTTTCTTCTTCTTTAAGCATTTTTCTGTTCTTTTTAAAGTGTTTTTAGTTTTTTAAAGCTTATTCCAGCCTTTTTAAAGCTTTTTTTAAACCATTTTAACCCTTTTTAAATATATTAAAATTTTTGAGACCTTTTAAAAATTTTTGAAGTATTTTGATGGTTTTTAAAGCTTCTTGAAGCATTTTGATGGGCTTCAAAGCTTTTTTTAAGTATTTCTAAATATTTTTAAGCTTTTTTAAGCATTTCTAAATATTTTTAAGGTTTTTAGTTTGTTTTAAAGCTTTCTGAAGTTTTATAAGCCTTTTTAAGCTTTATTAGGCTTTTAAATCTTTTAAAGATTTTTTAATCTATTCTTAAACTTTTTTAATCTTTTTTTAAGCTCCTTTAAGCTTTTTAAGTTTTCCTATGCTTTTCTTTAAGCCTTTATAAGTTCTTTTTTAAGCTTCTAGGGTTTTTTCCAACTTAGATTGCCAAAACGTTATTAGAAATGCTTATAAACTATATCTACTAGAAAATACTATTATTATAATTACTTCCACACCTCTATATTTTTATGTATATGCAAATTAAGCTTTTAATAAGCTTTTTTAATAAAAAAATAATAAAATTTATTTGACAAACGTAAAGATAATAATATGTAAAACGTGTGGTCTGCTCTTGTGCACTTTTGTATCTCGGGGCGTTTTAAATAGCTTAAGATTTAATTTGAAAGTAACAGAACACCTTGAATAATTTATAAATTGTTGTTAACTTTAATTAATTTTCTAACATATAGAATGAAATAGTAATAATTATTATTATTTGTTTCCGAATTGCATATTTCTAACTAGGTTATATCACAAAACATGTCCTGTATCTTGAAGTAAGTTCTAAAAACAGAATTAGCAATTTTTGTTTATAAATTATTAATGTTTTTTTTATTAAAAATTAAGACCTTGTTAGTTGCAGTAACCAGGTGCATCAAACTTTTCGATAAATCCAGTAGTTCTGTCAAAAATCAAAAAATAGGTCTTGGTGGGGCCTTATCTTGGAACACTCTGCTCTAAACATTTATAGGGATATAGGTTGTACAGGAAAGTCAATGTGTTGGACACTAGTACAGCTATCTATATGTAGACGAATATGTTTACTGTTACAGTTATTTTTACTCATTACTAATTACTCTTTTATTGTTTCAGGTTCTCTTACTAGAAGCAGGCGATGAAGAACCGATTGTAGCCGACGTCCCTGCATTTGCACCAATGTTACAAGCATCCAGCATTGACTGGATGTACGCCACCCAACCTTCACCGAAAAGTTGCTTAGCAAGAGATGAAGGAAGATGCACCTGGGCTCGCGGTAAAGTCATGGGAGGCTCTTCAACGATCAATTATCTGATTTACATCAGAGGACACCCCGAAGATTACGACGAATGGGAAAGAATGGGCAATCGTGGATGGTCTTATAGAGACGTGCTACCTTATTTCATTAAATCCGAAGATAATCGCGACCATAAAGGTATAGACCCTTATTACCATGGTAAAGGAGGTTACCAAACAGTTGAAAGGTTTCCTTACCAAGACCAAAACACTATCGGATTGTTAAATGCTTTTAAGGAGCTAGGTTTACCTGAATTAGATCAAAATTCTGAAGAACTTATAGGTACAATGTTATTACAACACACAACAAGGGATGGAGAAAGACTTAGTACTAACGGAGCTTTTATACGACCAATTAGAAGAAAACGAAAGAATTTAATAATACAAACAAACGCACATGTAACTAGAGTGCTAATAGATCCAAAAACCAAAACAGCATACGGTGTAGAATATAACAGAAAAGGAAAATTAATTCAAGCAGTAGCTAAAAAAGAAGTAATCCTTTCTGCAGGATCTATCAATACTCCTGCGATCCTCATGGTAAGTGGAGTTGGACCTGCAGATCATCTTCAACAATTCGGTATAAAAGTTTTAAAAGACTCTGCTGTAGGTTTCAATCTACAAGATCATACAACTATAGATGGCGTGGTGTTTGGATTAACCAATCACACTTCTACGCTTGTTAGTGATGAACAAATGAAAGCCGATGTATATAAATGGCAAGAAACTCGAAATGGTCCGCTTGCTTCGACTGGTGCTTTACAAACAAACGCTTTTGTACAAACAAAATACGAACATAGCCATAACCGACCAGATATACAAATATCCATAGATTCTGTAAATACTGATAACTTCTTTACTGATCCTATTCTTAGTTATAACACAGCAGTTTTACCATTATCCTATTACAGTGGTATGATGGCTAGACCAATTTTATTAAACCCCGAATCAAGAGGAAGAGTTTTGCTAAACGATACCGATCCAGTTTATGGAGCTCCTCTAATTTTCGCTAACACTTTTTTCGAAGAAATAGATCTGTTGAGAATGGTAGAAGGTGTAAAGCAAAGTCTTAATCTTGAAGGAACTACTTTCTTTCAACACGTAGGTGCTAGATTAGTCACCACTCCTTTACCAGCTTGTAAACATATTCAGTTTGCTACTGATGAATATTGGGCTTGCATTGCAATGTCTTACACTACAACTATATTCCATCCAGTAGGAACGTGTAAGATGGGACCCAAAGAGGATTCAACCGCTGTCGTTGATCCTGAATTGAGAGTGTATGGTATTAAGAAACTACGAGTGATAGATGCTTCGATTATACCGAAGATAATGCGGGGTAATACAAATGCTCCTGTTATTATGATTGGAGAAAAGGGTAGTGACTATATTAAGAAGCATTGGTTGAAATATCAGAAACAAGTTGATTCTACGTTAAAAAATAACCAGCAGAGTAGTAATGTTAATGGATATTTCTCATCACAAAGTAATATACCGAGTAGTAATAAATTAAATAATGATTTTAACTTTGACAAATTTTTTGATGCTCATTTTAGTGTGTAAGGTTAAAAAAAATATGTTAATACTTATTGTTTAAAAGTGGAATTTAGGGAAATTGTGTTTGTTTTTTTAATTTTGACATTATAAGGCATGTGTTAAAGTTTTGTTATCTATTTTATGATATTCTGCCATTATTTTTGCTTCCAAATATCAGTTACATCATTAAGTTCCTGCTGTTTATGTTCCTGATGTCACAATTTATACATTAATACTTCTAGAGCATGCCTTATAAAAATTAAAACGTTATTTTTATGCTTTGAAAAATTGTGTTAAAATAAAAAAGTTTGTTTTTAAATTAGCTGTGAAGCAGTACCTTTTAACTATTGTGATTTAATAGATAATATTCACCTACATCCGAGCACTGACAGTATAATGAACTGCATCATAAGTTACCTCTGTTTTATTGATTTTATAATAATAATAATTTATTTTGTGGTCACCGTTATGTTAACAAATATGTCCATTCAATGTAAATAGGTACCTATTTAACTATTTTAATAATATCTCTATGAAAAAACAATATTATATAGTAGATTTAATATCTTATATTATAATTTTCTACTTTTGTTATTTATATGTACTTAGTTTTCTATTTTGCTAGATATTGACATTTTTTAAATAATCCTTCTATATAAGTTACCTAAAATATGTGTTCTAACAATACCGGAAGTATTTATAAACTCTATTTTTGAAATAAAGTAAAAAATAAAAAATATTATTAATAAATTTTTACTATAAATGACTGTGTTTGATTTCCTTAAACATATTTCAGGTTAATTCAGCTGCAGGCACACCTAAATGGATAGTCATGAAGTAAATGTATTCTAAAATGCAAATATTTATTACAGAAAATGAAAATGAAATATAAAAAGGTATTTCTAAATGGTTTTAAAGAAAATTGCACCAGTAAGTGTCAACCAGTTGCATAATGTTGAACATTATGAAACTAGTTTCGAAAAATTCATTATATCACTAGTTGTGAAAAGAAAATAACTAAAAATGAACCTTATTTTGGTTTTAAAATCAAAAATATACATTTATTAGTGTCGGTATACCGGTCAAAGACCGGTAGGCCCTCGTTCAGGTAGTAGGCCCTTGAGAAGAACGTATTCTGCATTATCTTTACATTCGTAGTCCAATAACTCTAATAAAAAAACCCTGCAACTTAAATAAATACTTCTAAGTCTCTATTACTAGCTATAATTAAACTTTTTAAGTAACAGACAATAATAACTATATCACATCAATTGATTTTAAATAAAATTGGATTCCATGACTTCAAAAACGTAAGAAACAGAACAATAACATCAAATTTCAAATGTTACCCTCCCTTCAAACCTTTTAAAAAAAATTTGAGTAACATTTTTAAAAGAAATTTAAATTGTCCATAGATTATAAAATCAGAACCTGTATGGCTGAGTACGGTCCATCTAATCAAAATGCGTTTAGTTATCCTTCAATTTGCAATCTAAGTCTTAATTACCTATATCTATTTTTTTACATTATAGCGATTTATCAATTTAAACGTTTATAATTATTCAAATTAGCAATAAATAATGTATCCTGTACAATTTTTTCTTATTCATACCCGTTAGTTATATCTTTGTGTCAGTATTATCAGAATTATTAATATATATCGCTATTATACCGACATTCGTAACTTTAGACATGGCCTATTTCGAATGTAGCTACGTCACGAGCTCTGATTTCGGCCTTTTGACACAGGGTTGCCAAAGTCCTATTACATTCCTAATAGATTTTTACCACCCCAGTTTTCTTCAATATAAGAGTTTATAACAGTTTATAGTACAATAGAATCAATCATCAAGTAATAAATAAATAGTTATTTTAACACGCCATAAATCGTTATTTTTGATGAAGTATTCTGTTTTTTATTCTGAATGACACGTGAAGGTCAAATGTCAATTATTTTGTTCAAAATTTGTCGTACCTATTTAAATGTTTTATATTGCATTTTCTTGATTCAATAGGTATGTATTCAATTTGGAATCATAAACGGGGAGGTAATCAAGCAATAAATTAGTCTTTGATAAATAAATATTGAAACTTTATGAATTAGAGGGGTAGTGGATTACCTCATGAACGATGCAACATTGCACGAGTTTACAGATGCATTGTTGCATCATTCATGAGATACTTAATCCACTATCTTTACATAGATGCTTGAGGGTAAACTATGATTATTAAACGAAGATTGTAAAAATGTCGTTTTAAACTAGTAGTGTTGGAATTAGACCTAAGATTATCACTAACGAGTTTTTACAAAAACAGAGTTGTCTCTAGAGGTATATGAAGAAGAAAGAGATAAAAAAATCTGTTACTGCCAGTGTTGCCACAAGTTTCTCCTCGATTGTCCTCTGACAGGTAACCAAATTATCCGAATTCATTGGAGATTCTCCGGTCCGGTCAGGACAGTGACTAGAAGCGTTTATAATTTGTTCCCCGTCCCACATGGAGCAAAAGAAAACCTATGGAAATCTAGTTCTGATGCTAGATCGGCTAAATACTAATGCGCATGCGCGGTCAGTGGAACATACTTTTAAAAATTGGTGCAGGACCAAAAGATAGTTTTAATCCATGTTCTGAACCTAGAATCAACGCGAAAAGTGTCGAAAATACACCAGATTCTCCATTGATGAAAGATCACCAGTCACAAGTTAACTGTCAACACTAGGCAGGTATATTCTTCCCAAAATGTTATTCTCCGAACGTTCTTAAATTTTTGGCAACACTGCTTAGTGCTTATGCAACTAATCCGTTATGTAATGCTGGCAACACTGTTTTGACATTGACATTTCAAAGAAGCTTCTGTGCGCGTCTATCGGTTTCAATTTCAAATGTGATCTTTTCGTTTTAATATTAACTAAAAATTCATATATTTATTAAAATCGTGTGTTTCTACTAGATTACAAAAGTTTTTCTAGGTGAGTACGCTATTTTCGTTGTTATTTTCATAACCGCTAAGTGTAAGATTGATTGATTTGTACTAAGCGTTGGTATCTAGTATGCTTTGAAAAATATCTCGTATTGTACCTACAAAATTGAAAATTGTATTTCGCAATTAATATAAACCTTTACTTTTATTACGTAGGTTTACATTTCTATTTAGAAAATGCTAGTAGATATGTTATTTAATTTAATATGTCGATGATTTTCCTGTTGGATCTAGTCTATCATGTCATTTTACTGATATACCTACCTACCCAAATTCTTCGAATTCATTCGAGATTCTCCGCTCCGGTCAGGACAGTGACTAGAAGCGTTAATAATTCGTTCCCCATCCTGCATGGAGCAAAAAAACCTATGAAAATCTAGTTTTTATGCAAATTTTCCGTAAAATTTTCCGTACCTCAAATTTTTGGCAACACTGGTTACTAGTTATGCAATGTACCATTGTGTAATATTTGCACATGCTGGCAACACTGTTTTGACAGTTTTGACATTCTAAAGAAAATTCTGTGCGCGTCTGTCGGTTTCAATTTCAAATCTGATCTTTTCATCTTAATATTAACTAAAAATTCATATATTTATTAAAATCGTGTGTTCCTACTAGATTACAAAAGTTTTTCTAGGTGAGTACGCTATTTTCTTTGTTATTTTCATAACCGATAAGTGTAAGATTGATTGATTTGTACTAAGCGTGGGTATCTAGTATGCTCTGAAAAATATCTCGTATTGTACCTACCTAATTGAATATTATATTTCGAAATTAATAAAAACTTTTACTCTTATTACGTAGGTTTACAAAATGCTAGTAGATACATTATTTAATTTAATATATCGGTGGTAAAATGTTCATATTTTCCTGTTGAATCTAGTAGCCTATCATGCCATTTTACTGATATACCTAGGTAGTGGGCAAGTTTGAAATAAAGTGAGGTGATTTTTATGTAATTAAATACATTTTTCGAAGGGTTTTATCCATATTAAATGAAGTGTTTCTCATCTAGATAGATTTAAGGTAATAAATCAATATCAATCTATAAATATATCATAAAAATACATGGGTAGATGATATAAAATGCTAGCTAGGTACCAATTTACCTCAAGAATCGGTTCTTTTTTTCTCAATAAAGATTTATGAGTCGTATCAGTGTTTCTGTGTTTTAAATTTGATTTCTTTAGTAGAAAAATAGTTCTGTAGTACAATGGCAAAAGCTAGTAAGTCAGTTTTTGATCTTATTTAAGTTTTGCTGTACCTAACTTTGTTTTTCTATACAAATAAGGTTTTTGCACAAGAATACCTACACTAGAATATCTATATAGTAAGTCAGACTTGTTATCTTTAAATTTAGTGATTTTTTTGAGTAAATTTTATTAAATTAGAAAATTATGGCATCATAGTTGATAATAAGGTACTTATCTACTTCAAAAACATTGCATATCCAAAGTGACTGCCTTTTTAGTAAATTTCTCATATTTAATTTATAGAAAAGGTACAAAAACCTATAGTAGAACATAGCAAGACTTCTTTACTATGTTTTGTAAGGATTTATAATTAGGATGTCCACTTTTTTGTTTCTCAAAATTAGGACATGGTCAATCCAAGCTAGGGGGTACACAAATGTATATACCTATTTTATTATGATTTATTTTGAATAATTAAACACAGGTTGTAGTTTTTTTGAAATAGAAATGATGATTCAAATGATTCAAGTAAACAAATAATAAAAAACATGCCTCATATCTAATTTTTTTACATTTTGGTTCCTACTTTGTAAAAAAGGTATTAAAACATCAAAAACTTTTTTATTTCTAAGAATAATTTTACTAAATTTCACAAACATTTTTGGTGTCATAAGATACAACTGTCAGCAAAACAATCAGTTGAATAAACTTTGGCAGTGGCGTACAGCATTGATAATACCTTAAATTTTACGACACTATCCAAAAACTTATATGGACTATATTTTTATGCATTTTTTAAGTTGTTTTATTTTTAAATAATGTAAATTTGTTGGGAATTTATAAAAAAAATCCAAAATTACAAAATGAAAATGAAGAAAATCCACCTATGAGTGTGAATGTTTAGAAAATCAATCACTTTATGAGTGCCCAACAAGAAATGTAAAAATATAGTCCAAATAAGTTTTTGTACAATGGCATAAAATTAGAGGGGCTGGAAGGTGATTCTTATTCATACCGTACGCCACTGGCAAAGTTTTTTTGACTAATTGTTCGACTGATAGGTGTATTTTATGATACAAAAAAATGTGTACCAAATTATACGAGGAAATAAACAAAATTATAGTCATTAATAATTTTTTTAATTTTCAACTCAGTATTTCCAAATAATAATTTATCTAAGCATTGTTTTATTTTTATTTAGAGAATTTTTAGTTGTTCTTATGTCCCATTATTAATGAGACACAGGGTCCTTACTATTTCATAGGGAGAGGGGTATTTATTTGGCTTTAGAGCAGAGCATGTAAGGGTTTCATAGTACCCCCATTTTTTAAATTTATTTTTGATTTTTTCTAAAAGAAAAAAATATGTGTGTCTAGGTAAAGGATAAATTTGCTCATTTGGAGACAATTTTTCCAAATTTAATTTCGGTTTTTCGAAAAAAAAAAAAATACTTTCACATTTTTTTTCATAAAAAAATTAATAGTAACATGTTTAGAAGAAATATCCTTTTGACAGCTG